TTGCCTTAAACTAATTATAGTTTAAGCGTCTGAGTATTGTTTGCCTTAAACTAATTAAAGTTTAAGCGTCCGAGAACTGTTGCCTTAAACTAATTATAGTTTAAGCGTCTGAGAAATGTTTGCCTTAAACTAATTATAGTTTAAGCGTCTGAGAATGAAATTATGATTTGGCCTTAGACTAAGAATAGCTAAGAGCGTTGTTATGATCTGGCCTTAGATTAAGAATAATTTAAGAGCACTATTGAAATAGTATCTGAATTGAATAAAATGTGTTGATATGAACTGAATAATATCAAAACTCTGAATGTCTGAAATGAACATTGTGTGCATGATATCAAAAGATTTGATTATGAATTTAGATTCAGTTTATATGGATGTTCAACGCATTAGATATGCTTACTCAGCTTTACCGCTGAGCGTGTAGTGTGTTTGTTTTATTTGCTACACGCAGGTAATTAGAAAGATTAATGTGATCCTGACGGCAGATGGGGCGAGATTGTCGGGATGGATGTGACAAGTTTGAAATGATTTATGATATGTCAATATTAAGTTCGCTTCCGCAATATTGTTAAATACTCCGTACTGTATATGTTATGAAAAATATTTTTGAGATTAATAAAGTGTGTTTGAAAAGTTTTAAATTTTACGATTACCAAGTTAAATACTTTAGTCCGAAAAGGGGCTGCAAACCTGGACGGATTAGGGTGTTACAGTTAACATCCAAGAGACGTTCCCTGTAATTGAATCAAATCAAAGAGGTGAGTATGTTGACATCTAACACTAGAACATGCATCTAGATTTGAACTTCTGTTCATAATTACCATACTTCTACTCCTACCATAACTCTATTCTCACCATAACAAGAGTTATATCAAACTAGGAAAGCAATAAAGTTTCTCCTTTTCCCTTTTGTATATGTCACACCAATAAATGTTACTATTATTAAGCTTACTTATGATTAATAGTTAGTTCAAATGAATAGAATACAATGAAAATAATATTGTTGATTTAATGAGAACTTTTTGTGTGTGTATGTATGGACATTACCATTATGAAAAATACACATCTTCTCTTATTTTTAGCATATTTGAAAAACAAGGATGAATAAAGTGATATGATCTCTTATGTAACGGGTTACATGAGTTGGGTTTGTACAAATCATATACCTAGAGAACGCTGTATGACTTCTTATTTAACATGTGAACAATGGGTAAATAAGGGAGTTATTAAGTGGTTATGACAAACAATGTTTTAATGCGTTGAGAATGAACAAAGTTAGATTTTCTGAGTTATGTCAATAATTAGAAGTGAAGTATGACTTAAAGTCATCAAGTAGGATAATCGTTTTGGAAAATGTTGTTTTCTTTGTATTTGTATTAAGCAAGGGTGCTTTTAATATAAACACACATGGACGTTTTCAACATTTTGGAGAAACTGTGCTCTTTGCGTGACTTTGATATGTTATTGACATATGTTTTAAGCGGTTGGGAGGGGTTAACACACGACTCTCAAATTTTTCTAGACATTATCAAGGATGCAGGTCTCAATTTTTCACATCCACTTCAAGGTAATTACAATTGTTTATAACAAGATATTCAAAATTTGAATCAACTCTTATGAATCATATGCAATTTAAGGTAAGTACTATTTGTTTGACAAAGGATATCCTGAAAGAGATGGATATTTAACTCTATACCGAAAAATAAGGTACCATCAATCTGAGTTTCGTGGTGCAAATCCAAGAGGATGTCAAGTAGTTTTTAATAGAGCACATTCATCATTAAGAAGTTGCATTTAGAGATCCTTTGGTATTCTTAATGCGCGATCGGAGATATTACAAAGAATGCCAAGATATTTATTAATAGATCAAAACAAGATTATTTGTTCAAGTTTTGCTTAACACATCTATATTCGGATGAGCATAATTGACAACCCGACTTTTTAGCTTGTTGACGATGACCCTGAATTTGTACCCCTAAATGTGTTTGAAGATGTTGAAAACCATGTTGCAAATAATGAGATGGGTTGGGAAGTCAAAAAATGAGAAATATTCGTAAGAATATTAATTCTAGTTTGATGACAGAAAGATATCATTATTAAAGAATCTATAGCTTTGTTTCAATATTTAATTGAACTCAAGTCATCTTTTTGTTTCTAGTTATTTTGAGTGTGAACTCATGGTAGTCTATTAAAAAATTGTTCGTATTTAGTCATTTCTAATTCTTCCATCTCAAAAAAATTTTGATATTTCAAATTATGATGATTGTCATAAGTTATTTTTAATTCAATTTTTTAACTTTAAAATTGGTGTAGAGTATTTTTATATACAGAGTATTTATAATATTATTAAAAGATCTATAAAATAAAAGGTAACATTATTGTTATTTGTTAAATGACAATTGGAAAAAAATACAAAAATGTCTACCATAAAGCGTACCGGGTAAATGTAACTTCTCATTTCCTAATCCAAACAAAAATACGAAATAATATTTTTGAAATGTACAAAACGACCGAGATTCTTGCACACCGTCCTTACCACATAGACCATGAATATTTTTAAAGTATAAGCAAAAATCCATCACTATGAATGGGTGTCAATATCTAGACTCAATCCTTTCATTAAGCAACTTGGTTATTTTAGATTAGACCTGATCAAAGTGTGGGTCGAGCTGGATTTCAGACCGGGGCGAGATACTACATTACGATAATTTTCTACGCCTGAGTAGGGCCCGTATGGGTACCCGTGGGCTTCGGCCCAGCCCGGCCGCCCGACAAAATCTTCTAAAAAATTTAAAAATAACTTTTTTTTAAAAGTAACAAGTTAATATATTAGATATTTGATATAATAGCTATAATGAGT